CCCCCCTGCCCTCCCCCCTTTGCCCCCCCCTTGCGGCCTAAGAATAAGGGGCCCAGTGTTTTTAGTGTACTTTTTGACTTCTCTTTCGGAAATTACCTCCCCTGGTAAAAATGTTCCATGCGAAATTTGCATGGAAATCAGCCGCATGTAAAATTGGGACGGAAAAATTTCCATGCGCATATGGCATGGAAACCTACTTCATGGAAATCAGCCGCATGGAAAATGTTAAGCAGGGTGGTTGGGGAAAAAGAGGCACCCCTAAGGATTATTTAAGGAAATAATTTTCGAAATTGTGAAAAATTAAATTAATTGAACTATTGGGAGTCCATACAAGCGTTATCGTAAGTTAGAATGTTTTTGCCTGCATCGGGGTTTGAACCTGGGACCTACCTAACACTAGCCGAAGACCCTACCGATTGATCCATTCCGAGCGATGAGAATTTGAGCCGAAAAACCAGGATTTAACTTCGATTAGAACGGATAACTAGAATATTTAGAATACGGGTACATTTGTTCGTTTTTAAAAATATATTTTATTTTTACTTAATTTTATTTTAACTTTACTTTAGTTGTTTACTTTATTTTATTTTTAACTCTTTTTTTAAACTTTACTTTCTTTATTTTCTTTGACTTTATTTTTTGACTTTATTTTTTTTAAAACAAATTTTTACTTTAATTTATTTTTTCTTTATATGATCATTTCTTCACTTACTCTTTTTTTCTTTAATTTTATTTTTTATCATTTATTTTAATGTTTTACTTATTTTTTTATTTAATTTAATATTATTTTCCTTTGTTCACTTTTTTTATTATTTAATTTAATATTATTTTCCTTTATTCACTTTTTGCTGCATTTATGCACGCCCACAAAAGACCAACGAGGAAATGACAACGATTTTTTGGGAGCTACTAATGCAACCCGCAACAATCGTCCGTGAATTCTTTAAAAAACTACGTTTGACTCATCTTTTTATTTCCCCCTTTTTTTTTGGTTTTTTTTTTCTAACTAAAATTAAGATTTTACTGTATAATGTTATACTGAGCTCAGTGTAGAAGTTTCTAAAAATTATTGAGGTTAACGAAATTTTATTTTATGAAGTTTCATAAAATCTTGCATACCTGGTTTGACCCATCGTGATTAGTACCGAGTGTTCCTGTTTTTTCCACAATGCATTAATAACAATGACTTCGTTAGCAAGCTGCTCAAATAATGGTGGTAACGATTCCATGCTCATTATGGCAAAAGTAAAATGTCCACGCATGTTGCATTGAAATCATAAGATTTCCATCCAGACTGCATGGAAATGATGACGTTTCCCTCCCGCGTGGAAATCACTTGAGTTCTGCGGAGCATGGAAATCAGATCATTTCCATGCAACTTGCATGGAAATGATTTGACTTCCATGCGACTTTAATGGAAACCAATTGATTTTCATGCGTCTTGCATGGAAATAAGGTGATTTCCATGCAAATTCGCATGGAACATTTTTGCCAGGGTCCCCCTTGCAATATTTGCCACGCCCCCCCCCCCCCCCCCCNCTCGTTCCGAGAACAGCTGTTGGCGCGGCATTTAAATTTCCGGTATGTTCAAGTGGATCCGCAACTACCCCCCTCCCCTCTGAACGGTATAGACACTGTATACAGCAGTGGATTTACCATTATGTCGCTAATTTAATCGCACATTGAACAGTAGAAATATTGGACTTGATTGAGTAAAATTACTAATGTGAACAGTAAGTTTATTTCTCAAAATAGTTACTTTATCGAGTACACCGTTAGGTTATCGCACTTGACGGTACATATATCGCTGGAGCATACATCGCACCCGTGCGATACATATCCTGTACTTTTTTTCTCAGTGTACCACAAAATGTGTTTTAAACATCGATGGTGCATGTACTAAACCACTCATCTCAGTTTGCGCCGTTGGCGTTGTAAATCTTCAGTCACATTTGCATTTTCTTAAAGACCTGATAATGTTTTTTTCCTAGAATTTCGTTTCATTTTCCTTCGTTCTCTTCACAAGATCACAATATTCTCTGAGGATTCGCGGAAAAACATGCCAAGCAGTATACAGGGTGAGCGAAAAGTCCCCGACCCCCCCTCTAACTTTTGAACGAATTGAGCTAGGGAAATGAAACTTTGGGAATGTTCCTATCTCAAAGGGGACCATCTTTTGAGGGGGTCAAAATTTTGGTCCCCTTTGTGATAGGAACATTTTCAAAGTTTCATTTCCTTAGCTCAATTCGTTCAAAAGTTAGAGGGGGGGTCGGTGACTTTTCGCTCACTCTGTATATTATCTTGAAAACATTAAAACTATGAGAAAACATTCTCAAACGTCGCAATTGAGATCCGTAGCTAGGTATTTCTCCATCGATGTGTGTATTTTTCACGATTCTATTCCCAAGTCTTATTTTGTAAATGGCAACCTAGCAATCGCACGTTTCTCACATTTCATCTAACTGTAAATATTAGGTTGTATTAACTGTACATTTAGTGTAAATTTGCAATGTTTTTCTTTCAGTCTTTGAAAAGTTTCTCACCTGAAAATTTATGTTTTGTCATTTTAATTTTCTGAGGGGCAATTGTAGCTAAACTCTACTAATGGAACCAGGATTTGGAAATTTTTTAAAAAAACTTATGATTGATCTCTCACTCTGCTTTCTAAAACTGAAAATAAATAAGAAAATCGTATCCCATCAATGAAACAAGCTTGAGATTTGAAACATTTAGATGAAAAATCCTGCCTCCAGAACTTCGCACTTCAAGTATTTTCAGATGCACTCAAGCTTCAAGCTTTTTACTCTAGACTTTCATCAGCTCCTGAGGAAAGAGATTTCCTGATTTTGGCGAAGGATTATCGTTCCTCTTAAAATGGCATAGATTATTGGATCACCTAGTAAATGTGTGTGTGTGTTCATTATTTCCTTTTCTTCTTTGACAACAAAAAAAAGCTGCAAAAGCTATTTTGGATTATGAGTAATTCTAGAATAACTATATCTCAAAAAATAAGTGAGTCTAAAAAAAGGGGGTTTTGAAAAGTAAGCATACATTGTTTTTCTTTCCATTTTTGGTCAGCAAATTATCAAGTAACGCTTTATTTTCCAGACCAACCTTTTGCCACCGCATGTTCAAAATTCACAGTTTGAAAGATATTAAGTAAATACTTTTATACTTTTATCGTAAATACTTTTTTTTTATGATATAAAGTTTCGGCAGGTGGTGAGAAAATGATATGGCTCGCAAAGCGCTAGAATAAATTTGGAAACAAATTGTAACTCCTAAAAGCTAAGGGTTTCTGTGTCTTTTACATTGCTCTTATTATTTATCTGTTCTCGAGATATTCCGGCAGCAGCAATCCAAAATATTTGAAACCTGATGCCGAGAATTGTGATTGCAGAAAAAGAATGCCACCCACGAGGGTGAGAACCAAATTAAAAAATGAGGATTTGCAAGGTGCTTTATTTTTTTAAAAAAATATGTATTGTCATCCAAATAAGCTGTATTTATAGATTTAGAAAATATTCACGCAAAATTGTAGTAGTAGCAGTAATAATGCAAGTACAAGTTGTCAATTGATGGAACGTCAAAAAAAATTGAAGCAGATAATTATCCGTGGCTAAAAAGCTGAGGTCCATCTGAAAAAAAA